TTGTTCCAAGATTTACTTTTCACTTGAAGGGCAGATTTACAGAAAGAAAAGACACAGACCAATCCTCTGTCTGCTGGTTCACTTCCCAAATGGCTATAGTGGCTGGAGCTGCATCAGTCCAAAGCCAGGAGCAGGAGCTTCTTGCTGGTCTCCCATGTGGGTACAAGGTTCCAAGCATTGAGCCAGCCTCCACTGTTTTTCACAGGCCAAACCAGTGCCTTAAATGGGATGCTGGTGCTTGCAAGTTGAGGATTAGCCAGTTGAGCCATTGTGCCACCCCCCCCCACTACCCCCAAAGTGATACTTGAAGTAAAATGAAAAAAAAAAAAGTCTTTTTTTGAGTGAGCTTCCTGCATAATAGACACTTGAGGCCAACTTTGCACACATCCTGTTGCTGTGGCCGATGGGTTGTGTCCAGGAGTGAGACAGTTAAGGGTTGTGCACAGCTTTTAGATGCTATCCAGCTGATACCCATCCCCCTTCCCGCACAGGGTCATTTCATCAACCCCCACCCTCGGTGAGTATGAATGTAGCAACCATGGCGCGTAGTCTATGTAGACCCCAGAGGCCCCTCTACCCCTTTGCCTGGCTCCCAGGTGCTCCTGCTTGTGTGGTATGCACCTGTGACTCCCCGGTGCACCCACCCGTATCACCTTCGCCCCTAGGAAAGACGTTAGCCAGTAGGTAACAAGTGTGTGGGAGCATTAAAGGTCCTACTCCCAAGCCTCAGGTCACATTTAGTCCCATACTAGGGCTACTGTTGTAGGTGGCCCAGTGCCCCTTTTGGGAACAGATTGCCACAGAGGCACGGTGGCTTCTGCCTCCTGCTCAGTGTTGGATCACTCACTCAGGGGTAGACCCTGTTGTGTCGTGAGGACCCTCAAGCAGACCCCTTAGAGATAGCCAATAGGTGCATCCCTGAAGCCACCTGCCCACCACTGTGAGAGTGAGGATCTAAGCAAGACCCTTAAGCATCTGGCTGAGTCAGGATGTGGCCACAGTCCCGTGTGAATCCCTGAGCTTGCACTGAATTCCGGATTCTTGGAAGCTGCAGTAATCTCGCTCTCGCATCCTAAGCTCCGAGGTTTCTGGCTAGGCTGTTACCAGGTGATTGCTACCAGCAATGTTTTCCTCCAGGACGTTTGCAAGGCACGAGGCCAGAATGAAAAGAGCAAGGTTCGACTTGGTCTAAACCAGCGTGTTGCAGCAGTGCTAGACCACAGATCGCGTTCCTTTGCGTTTTCACAGAGCCCTGGTCTCTAGTGGGAAATCTCAGACGCCACCTGGCCCTGTCCCCGGGAAAGCCTCCACTTCCTTTGCATCTGCCAGACCTCCAACAGCAGGGTCTGTGCTGGCTTAGATCTGTGGTGTGCGTGGGCGTGCAGGCCTGGGTGCCTGTTGACAGCTCTGTCACCATGTGGGTTGTGGGTTTTGTAAGCTGTCACTCAGCCCCAGACCAGCCAGCGTGCTGTGCAGCTCTGCTGGAGCAGAGACCAGTGCAGGGATGGGACCCGTCCCACCTGCCGGGTCACTGGCAGTACTTCCTCACTGATGGATCATCTTCAGTGCCACCTTCCCGGGCTGCTAACGTGGTTAGGATCATGCAACAACAGGCTCTGTTGGGTTGCCAGGTTCTTTTCACCTATCTTCCACTTCCTGGGGGAGGGGAGAGGGATGATCATTCTCATCATACAGATAAAGAAAATGAGACTCTGAGTGGTGATCACAGGATTCATTTTATATATATATATTTATTTATTTGAAAATAAATTACAGCATTCATCTCTGCTCTGGAACCTCTTAATTGGTCACACTCTCCTTTCCCTCCCAGGAGCTACCAGGTACCATGTGTCCACTGGCATCTGAAAGGCCTGGGCAACCTCTGGGCAGGGTGACTCTGTCCTCAATATCCTCTTCCCACCCTCCACCGAGAGCTCAGCCCCCAGAGGGCCATGAGGCTCCCAAACCTTCCAACAACTCCTGGGCATGGGGCCTCAGGTGGGAAGGCCCCCCAGGCAGCCTGACGTTCTGCCAGCCTCAGGTGCTGTCTCCTTTAAGAGACACTATCGATTTGATTTTCAGCATTCTGATTCTGATGTTCTTGGGGGGGCGGGGGGCTGGAGGAGAGGAGAGCTGCTGATTTCCGGGAATTGACTGCCAGACACATTAATTTGTTTCCTCCCTTCAAGGTCAAATCAAGTCATCTCCATAAATCACCGCAGGCAGGCTGGCAGTGGGCATGGGGGTGGGTAGGTACAAGTATACATACCAGAGAAATCCCTGGACTGGGTTAAGGAAGAAGACCCAAGTGGGCTCCAGATGTCCCCTGTTCCCAGGATCTCTGAAGCAAGGGCTCAGGAGGTTTTAAAAAAAAAAATGCCTTTAGTTTTTGGCTGCAGCTCTCCAGAGAAGGATCCACACATTTGTTTGGATGCCGGGTCTTACACTTTTGAGCCTGAAAACTCTCAGAACCGAAAATGAGCCAGGTGCCTATGGTATGAGTCATGCCTTTAGCCTAATTTCCCAGGGTGACTCAAACTCATCATTCCTTCACCCATTCATCATGCCTGCATTCATCCACTCAATAAGTAGCTGTCGCCCTTGATGTACCAAACCTTGCACTTGGCACAAGGAGACAAAGTGGTGGACGAGACCGCAGCTCAACATTCTGAATAGTAGTCGTGCTGGAACAGGGTCTCTTGTGACGCCTCTCACCTCTCACTTGGTAGGACTTGAGCAGGCAGCGGGAGTGAGGCTGGGAACATGGAGTTTGAGGGGGAGATCTGAGGACAGGGTGCTAAGAAGGAGGCAACTTAGAACCAAGAACAGAGACAGCAAAGGCCCTGGGGTAAGAGTGAGTATGAGGCCAAAAGAAGACGCCTCAGGAGATGAGGCTGGCAAGATGACAGATCATGGGGGACAGCAGAGGCAGAAGAAAGGGCTTTGTTTGAGCAGTGTTTGTCACTGCTCTCACTTCTGCCTCTGCTGATTATCAAATGTGCCTTCTGCAACCAAAGCTGTGGTAGAAGTGAGGGAGACCAAGCGGACACGCCAAGGTGTGGCATATGCCTTCATGAGACCTGCATCTGTTGAGGGGGCAGCTTGGGCATCTAGGAAAACTGTGCTTATATCAATGCCCTCCCGTGAGAAAGCCTCCTTTGTACCCTCTTACAATGATCCTCAGATTCCATCCATCTTTTATCTCCCAGATGCACCTGCAGGTGCATAAGGCTTCCCCTAAAGGGTAGATGGGCAGATGAATTTCGTGTCACAATGCTAAAATTTTAAACTGGATTATTGAGCACTGGTGTTAGCTTTCCAAGTCTACTCACCACCCAGCACTTCTTGCTAATTGCCTGTCGCCAAGGTCCAGCCACCCACCAGGTTGCCAGTTCCCCATGCCTTAAAGACGCTGCTTGGTCACTGGAATAGATTGGGTGGTCCTGCAAGCCCTGGCCTGAACACCCCCCTCTGGCTAGGCTGTCTACTCCTGGCTGTATTATTTACCAGCCTAGAATGAGACAACAGGGAAATGATAATCTTGATCTCTACTTGTTGATCAAGTAGAGATTTTTTTTTTCCCCCCTGGGATGTGATTCCTCCCCACTTCCTGGAAGACAGAGCATCTGGGATCAATTTTTTAATTATTATTTATTCTGTTCCCTGAATATTCTGGCTGTTGTGATAGGATGAGCTGTGTTGGGAATAAGGGCAACAACAGGAACTCTGGCCAACCTGGCGGGAAGGTTCATTGAGTTTGCCAGCAAAGAGGATGATAAAGTAATCTTTCGGGGAGGAGAGAATGGGGAGAGCGAGAGGGAGACAGATCTTCAGTGTTTTGAAGTTCAGAAGGAGCCTGTCTAATGGGAAAAACCAGAGGGGGAGTTAGGCAGGGCTGGAGGATTCAGGCTGGGTAAAAAGAGGTCACCCACAGACAGACTTGACAACCTTGAAAGTCTTGCCAAGAAATTTGGACTTGATTTTTTTCAACTATGGGAGACATCAAAGGACTCTTAAAAGAGCATGCCTTCTGCCTTGGCTCAGAGGTTTCTGGTCCCGGGGAAGTACCTCCTCCTTCTCCTGCATGCCCAAGTCCCACAGCCCTGATGCCTTGACCTTCAAGCCCTGCATGGGTAAGCCACCCTGGACTCCCAGCCTCCATGCCAAGCCCCAGCCTGAAATCTCCCCTCTCCCTTCTCCTCCCTTTGTTTGAACAGACACTTAGGGCACCTTTGGACTTGGCTTCAATAGGAGAAAGGCACGTCAGGGTTGTAGCTAAGAGGGAAGAGAGGCTGGCTGCCTGGGCTTCCAGATTGCCAGGGTTGAGGGGACTGGGGACAGTGTTCTTGTCTGTACCATGAAGTTGAGTGCTGCCTCTCAGTCACAGGTCTGGCAGGAAGTGGTGTCTATTGGTACACGTGAGGCACACAACATGCTGTCTTGCACACATGGTGAGATGAGATTCCCCATAAGGGCCAGACTCTCTGATTTGGTCTCTTTCCATACCTGGGCTGTGCACTCCTTGTGGACAGCTGCAGTGGCTTGTGCTGTTGGCTGCTGGTACTGAATGGAGCAGAATGGGTGTTCGGGGACTCTTCTGTGGCTCTGATATCTTTTGAGGTGGGTTGGGGGGGTGGCCTGGGGGAACCCTTGGGAAGCAGTGCAGGAGCTTCTCCTCATTAATTCTTAAAACACCAAGCACACAGGGACAGGTTCCAGGCCACCTGCCACCATGTGACGTGCCCAAGCCATTCCTATGTTAGCCTCTGCTAACACCTCCTTCCTTACGGCAATTATATGGGCTTGGCTCCACAGCATGTGACAACAGCTCTGTCATCACCCGATTCCAAGCTTCTGGTGAAATTAGACAACAGATATCTGTGCTGTTAAAGCCACTTCCCATTAGACATTGTGACTTGTAGCCATAACACAAGTCTAGCCGAGGTTGTGTATGTGAGCAACATTGCGTTGGAGGAGTCCTTGTGAATAACACACCAGGCTAAGAACATCAACTCCTTTATTATGATTCATGATTTACTGTCATTTCCCCCTCCACAACAGCACAAGTCAAACAGTAATGACACACAATACCACTAGCCTGTCTGCCAGGCTTGGTTCCTGGTGGAGCTGTCTAGAGACATCCCCATGGTAAAATCCCAATGTGGACCTAAGGGACGTGAGAAAGGGAGGGGGACCTTAGCCAGAGAAAGAACCGCGGGGCTCCCAGTGTCCTTGGGGTCCTCAGCAACATGCTATCAACGTCTGGGCAAAGGGCAAGACCGCCCTGGTGGGTAAGCCCCACGTGAGGACAGAAGGTCTGTCCATGGCTTTTTATGAGCTGGGAGCATCCAAAGTGGACCAAGCCCTTGGGCTTCCTCAACCAGACCACGTGGCAGGCACAGAAACAGAAAGCCAGCGTGGGAATCTGGGTGATAGGCAGGTCCCCAGAAAGAGCGAAGCAGTCCTCACCTTAGCAGTGAGGACAGATAGGGTGTGAACCAGGAAGGCCCCTGCGGTGGGTTTTGCAACAACAGCAGGTGCAACATTGTCATCAAAGTAGAAAAAGAAAAGTCAAGGAAAAACCAGTACTTGGCCTAAGGCAACCAATCGCCAATTGCGCCCAGTTGCCATGAGAACTACTGCTACACTATCCAGGGAGTCTGTGGTCATCCCCCCGACCCCCACCCCTTGACATTTTAGTGCCTTGAAAACTGAGTTCAGCTAAAGTAACATAGCCTAGATGGAAGTAGAGACGCTCTGGGCTGGGGAGGGATTGAGGGTAGGACCCAGCTGGGTGCTTCAAGTACAGGTGACTTCCTGGCTGTCTTGGGGCAGCTCATTGTTGAAACTGCTCTCTCCATATGGTGCGTAGGGCGGGACCTGGGGGGCTTCGATGATCAGCAGACCCTCTGGGGAGAGGGAAGCAAACACTGTTGAAGGATCCACCTCTGCAGGAATCCTAGGAGAAGCACAAGATTTCATTCATACATTATTTTTAACACAGCTACAACACTGATTGTTTTGACAGAAAAGATTTGGGGAGGAGGGGCTAGTGTAGCAGCACAGCGGGTTAAGCCACCATCTGTAGTGATAGCAGCATCCCATAGGAACGCCGGTTCAAGTACCAGTCACTCTGCTTCCAGTCTAGCTCCCTGCTAATGCACCTGGGAAGGCAGCAGATAATGACCCACGTGCTTATGTTCCTGCCAACCCTGTCCATGTGGGAGACCTGGAACAGGGTCCTGGGTTTCTGGTTTCAGCCTGGCCCAGCTCTAGCTGTTGTGAACACGAGGGAGAATGAACCAGCAGATGGATGCTGACTCTCTCATGCTTTCTCCCATCATTCTACATTTCAGATAAATAAAACTTAAAAACTAGTTTTGATTAAGGGCTTAGCCTTGGGGAGGATTTGAATCCTGGCCGTGCCCCTCTCTAGCTCTGTGCTCCCGGAAAGCCTCCATCCTGCTCCACGCTGCCGCCGTCAGCTGTAGCAGGAATCCTGTGTTCAACCCAGACAGCATTTGAAGTGCTAGGATAGCTGAGTCCAAATACCCTTGCAGATTCGTCACTTAAAGGGAGCCGTGGCTGGGGTTCCCACCCAGGCACCCCACTGTGGGGTTGGCGAAAAGGTACCTGCTGCCATCCCTGGGTGCCACACAAGCAAGGTATGGGTCACAACAGGTAACACCTCTCCTTGTGTCCTGCGCGTGCCGGGCAGTGCTTGAGTCCAAGATCCCCTCATGGGGACTAGGTGGCCGAGCGAGGCACCTAGGCACTGGGCAGCTGGAGGGGTGTCAGGTGGTGACATGTGCTAGGAGTCCCGATGTTGAGCGTACCATCTCGTAGCAGCTCAGAGCTGTCCTGTTCCCCCATCTGAGTGGAGAGCCATCACCCAATGGGAGCTCACTGAGAGTCCAGTAAGCAGCTTCTTAGGTAAGAGTGAGCGTGCCCATTTCGTAGATGACAGAGATCTCAAGTTACGAGAAAGTACCCAAGAAGAGACTTTTTTTTTTCTGAACATAAAATTGGCTTTAGTTCTGCTGCAGTCTTTGCATGAACTTTGGATTCTTTTATTTTGAATAGGATATGGTCTTTTCAACTATTGGGACTGTGGGAGCCTATGGTTGATCCCACTGGGACGCTGCTAACTTCTAAGCACCTTGCGCATGCATGGCCTTTCACCAGAACCATCTTTAGCTGCCAACAGTCACCACACCAGTCAGGTCTTTCCACCCCCCACTCCCAATATGCAGAGGGATAGGAGGAGGTTCAGAAAGGAGCCTGAGGCCAAGGTCCTGTAGCCAGTAAGGGACAAGCAGGACCAGGTCTGGGGATTCTGAACTCCAGGCTTGCAGTGGCCGATTGTGGGGCCCCACTGCCACCCCTGGCAACCAGACTTGGCAGTCATGGGGTGAAGCCATAAGGGGTGGTTCAATCACTTTGTATCTTCCCAGGGGTCCTGGCTGGTCCTGCCCATTACAAATACTGGGAGAGGTCTTGAAATAACCCGGGCAGGAGGCAAACCCATTGCCACCTGACCAGAACCCTTCCTAGAGGGGCCCAGGAGGAGTTTGGTTTGGCTGCGAACTGCAACCTGGAGTCCCATGAGATGCCCGCAGGAGGCCTTGCCAACCAGGAAGCAAAGGGATTTGCCAGAGCACTGCCGGGAAGGTGGGGAATGGGAGGAGAAAGCCTGGGCAGCCGCCAAGGCAAGCTTTGGAAACAAAGTCAGAGCCAGAAGTTCTAACCTCCATCTTACTGTTGGCTCTGCTTAACCATTTGCATGCCAGTCCAATGGCCACCTGGCTGCAGTGCCACAGGGTGGCTGTGGTCCAGACATGGGCTTTCTGGGCACGTAAACCAGCTTCAGATTTGGATTCCTGCTGACTGTCTGGGTTGGAACTGGTAGTCCAGCCCTTCTGCAGCTACTTCCGAGCAGTAAAGGGGGTGGCAATCATAGCACCTGCCTTTTGGGGGAGGGGTGAGAACTGCCTTGCAGGAGTTGGAATTGTGGTACTGCTGGCTCAGCTGTACCACAATGGGGCACTGGCATCCAAAATTGGAACACCAGTTCAAATCTGGCTGGTCCACTTTTAACCCAGCTCCCTGCTAATGCACCTGAAAAGGTAGTGGGTGTGGGCCCAAAGTGCTTGGGCTCCTGCCACCCACGTGGGAGAGGTCATGTGCCAGGCAGCGGCTTTATTTGACTTGCACTGAGCTATTACGTTGGCCCTGGGTGTCCGGAGCCTTGGCTCTGTGATGGAGTAAGTGGGTGCCTTCTACTAACACGCCTCACCACTTGGGGCCTCTGTTCTCACAGATGGGAGCCTTGTCAGGAGTGACAGGGTGCGTGTGACGCAGTTCACTCAGGGCTTGGTCCGTGGGAATAGGTATAACTAAAGACTCTACAGGCCTGAGATCTCCCAAGGGCACAGGGACCCCTGGGTTCTCGGGGCTACAGATACCCTGGAGTCAGGCTGGCATCTGGGGCGAGGCTGAGCCCGTCTCAGGAGGCGAGAACAGGGCAGTTCCCACTGGACAGGGCCTGGTCAAGTCAGGCTCCTCCGAGATTTCCCTGCAGGCAGGATGCTGCAGCTGTTTGCCTGGGGGCTGGAAAGTTGGTCCCAAAGGCCCCATTTTGACAAGGTTTGGGATGGAGAGACAGAAATCTTGAAATCTGCCTGTCTCATTAGGGTCTCTTTCCCACTCCCAACTTGGATGGGACAACAGGAAGCTGGGGGACTGGGAGAGTTGGATGCAGGATGCTCAGAGCCAAGGCAAATCTGACACTGCATGCTGCGTGTTTTCTCCGCTATCAATTCTGCAACCAATGGAGTCCTAGGATGTGCCCTGCTGGGTCGGTGTTATTAAGTCCCTCTTGTGGATGAGGGCATAGTCTCAGGGAGCAATGGTGGGACTCAGTGGAGCTCACGGCTGGAATATGATCCTGGATCCCAGTCTTTGCCTTCACATGCAGGGAGTTGGGGAAGACGTAAGCCAGGCAGAGAAAGGCAAGCCTGTGTGGTCTCGCTTTTCCGTAGATTTTAAAATAGTCAAACTCGCAGGAGAAGAATGTGGGATGGCAACTGCCAGGAGCTGGGGAAGTAGGGAGCAGAGAGATGCTTAAAGGACTTAAGTTTTTCGTCTCGCAAGACAGATATGCTCTGGAGACATCACATGATATGTGGCACGGAACTGAAGTTCAGTGTGATGAGCAGTGGTGACCCTGTTGGAAGCCTTCCTCTTCATCCTCCATTTTCACGGGTTCCCTCCCATGCCAGGATTCCAACCCTGGTTCACGCAATATCAATTCCTCCCTGAGTTCCACCTCGCAGGCCCTTTTGGAAGTACCCCCATACCTAATGTGCTGGTCACACCTCAGACAAACGAGCTTTGTCTTGATAAAGAAAAGCAGGTGTGACATTTAAGGCAGGTCCTCCCCACTTGGCAAGCCCCTCCTTTCCCTGGCTGTTTAGAGGCACCTACAGTATGGTCCCCGGCCAAACTCCTCACTGAGCTCTGGCCCTCTGCACTCACAGGCTTGTCCCATCATTGGCTCAGCATGTTTCCCTTTCCGATGCAGCCAGATTCTCATGGCTTAAATGTTCGTGGATGAAGGCAGTTGGGAAGTAGATCCACTAATCAGCCAGCAAGGCAACTCCAGGCAGACAGTGGCACGAGCAGCCTAATAAGGGCCTGAGCCTGGAAACCGCTCAGTGAGAGACACTACAGGGGTCAAAGGCATAGGGGCACTGGGTGAGCCGTCAGTCTGTCCACTGAGATGTAAATGAGTTGAGAAGAACTGAAGAAGAGTCACTTTTCCCCCCAATGCTGGGTCCAACCCTGGCCATGATGCTTTAAGGCCTGGGACAGAGTGTAATTGGTACACTCAGGCCTGTGTAAATTATGGCTAGTGGACCAGGACAGTGGGAAAGAGACCATGGGCTTTGCTATGCTTGGCCCTAGGAGAGTGCCATCTGTGTCACAGTCTGCACACCTGTCAAGAATGCTGTCAGAGCCTCCATGGACACCATGCCATAATATGACACCATACCATAATACCATGATACTGCTGAAGATGTATTATTTGAAAGGTAGAGTCACAAGAGGGAGGGAGAGAGAGAAAGATGGAGATCTTCCACCTGCTTGTCCAAGCCCCAAATAGTTGCAGCATTTAGGGCATCCCATACTGGAATACTGGAAGATCCCCAAGTGCTCCACTTCCTTGCCAGCTCCCTGCTAATGCACATGGGATTGCAGCAGAAGGTGGCCTGTGTGCTTGGGCACCTGCCACACGGGCAACTGAGATGGAGTTCCCAGCTCCTGGCCATAGCTTAGTCCAACCCTGGCCATCCATGGTGGCTATTTGGTTGGAAAGCCAGTGGATAGAAGATCTCTCTTTCTAGCTCTACCTTTCAAATAAATAAATATTTGAAAAAAAAATTCTATCCAGAAATAGAAACAAAATATTTAACAACCAGCTGGACCCTGCCTTGTCAGCATGGCTGGAAGGCCACCCTGGAGTTTGATTGGTGGGGTGTGGGGAGGTCCCCAAGGGCGCAGGAACAGGCTTGGGGTGACCAGGACTGGCAGCAGAGGGTACATGGTTTGGGAGGCAAGGAGAGGCTCAGAGAAGTAGTTTGTGTGTGTATTGACAACTGGCCCATGCCAGCACATCCTATTAGGGCTGGGCACACCCATAGCAATGGCCGTCTGCTTGAGATGACATAAGTGGCGGACTCGTAATCCTCCCCGTTCAGGTCCTTTGACAGCACTGCTCTGCTTGGGGCTCTGTCTCAGAATCTTCTTTGAGTATTTGGAATGAATCACTAGCTCAGCCCTCTCCCCTCTCTCGCTCCCTCCTTCCCTACTAAGCTGTGTTTGATCTTGTTGCTGGGTCAGGCAGGAGCAAGGGTCACTGGGTGGACAGCAGGCATGCCAGCAAGCACAGAATGAAAGCAGATGGGTGTGTTTGCTTATCAGGAAGCATCCACAGCCTTCCATGAATTGCTCAGAGGCTCGGGACTGAGCACGAAGCAGGGTACACAGGATCACAGAATCCCAAAGCTGAAGAAAGCCTTGGACCCCAGCTGGTGCCATCCGTCCTGTGCCAGTGCCAGGACTGGGTGTTGGAGTGAGGATTTAATAGCAGCAGCAGCAACAGGAATCGTAAAACAGGGCCACTTGGGAGAGCCTTCATGTGCCACCATGGTGGCTCCTTTACAGCTGATAAGTCTGCCAGGCTGGAATCAGTATTCCCTACACGCTCTGGGATACAACTGAGGACCCGGGCTCAGGGGATGTGGTTGGGGCTGTTCTGAATTCCAGTGGTGAAATCCTTAGTCCTGTGCTTCCCCCCTTGTGTAAGGAGGAAATTACACAAGGCTTTCCTGATGCACACCCTTACACGTGCCAGGATGGCTGGGCAGAGTCTGTGGGAGCCCAGGTGCATACAGCAGAGGGCTGCTGGCACAGGAGCAGGTGCACGCCAAGCGCCGGGCAACTGTCCTGTGAATCAGCCGATATCCCCACGCCACAAACCCGTTACTGTGAGGGGGCTCAGCCTGCTTCCCCGAGTCCCCAGGCTCAGCCCTTCCCTTCCTTTGTTCCAGTCTGCCCACCCTCCAGAGCAGCATGGCTGCCAACAAAGATATATACATAAACGAGTCAACAAATTGTTAAAGAGCAGGAGAAATGTGTGTGAGAGAGAGAGAGAGCAGATCTCAAGCGCAGTCCTCCCCCAGCCCCCAGGTCCCCACTGAGACCACTACAGTCCGGCTACTCACTGGATTTTCTTGGTGAAGTTCTTGGAAACGATGCCACCTTCATGCTGCTTCTCTTCATGCTTGCCTGGAAGGCAGAGAGGAAGGGCAGGCGTCAGGTGCTGTGTCTCTCATCCAAAGCTCAGGTCTTGGATTCAGGACCCTGCCTCTGCACCTGCCTTCGCGAGTGGCTGAGGGGTGGGGATGGAAGCTGCAGCAGTCTGAGCCCTGAGACCTCACAGGCTGGCTTGTACCTACGGGCTATGGCCAGTCAACTGTCATTCATAGGAGCTAAGGGAAATGAAGCTCCCTTGCAGTATACCTTCCCTGCGTCCCACTCGGGCTTTATTCTCCTAACCAGCCAGGAGGCCTCCATCGTCCCCCTGTGGCAAGAAGGAACTGGAGTCCCATGCCAAGTTCTCCCCACAAACACAACTTTATAACTAGCAGAATCCCTTCCTCATCCTGATAAGGGGCTTTTGTCTGCCTCCTTTTCTGATAGGGGAGACATCACCCAGCAGGTGCAGGACCATGCACGGCTTGGCATCAGCTCCCCGGGAAGTGGGGCCAAGGTCGGGGTCCCTCTCCCCTTCTCTGCCTTTGGCTACTGTCAGTTCTACTTGGAGTTGGCTCCTAGAGCCACGTGCTCTCCCTTTGGGAATGAAAGAATAACAAGGAAAGGAAGTTGTGCTTAGTTCTCTGCCAGCTAACAGCACACAGCGCTTCTCTCAGGAAAGGGCCTGGCCCCACCCTGCATGGGAAGGCAGGGAAATAAAACTCCCAGGAGGCTGGGGCCCTCGCCACCTTCCATCCTGCAGTGTATACAGCAGAGCACGCTGTTTTTTCGTTTGCTGGCCTGGACAGCATCTCTCATCTCTCCTTAAACAGGATGGATGCTGGGTGGAGCCGCTGGGCTATGGGAACTACCACATCTGTGGGCCTCCCATTCCAGGGCCGGGAACCCTTGCAGACAGGGAAGCCTTTTCCAGGGCTGCAGGGTCACCCTTGAAGTGCCCTGGTGGGCTGGCTGCTGCTCCTGCAGCCCAGTCCCTCCTAAGCTGATGGTATACAGGCGGCTGCATCGTCTCACTCTGCTTTGTGATTCATTCTTCCTTCACATTTATGATTCTATGAACATGTGTTAGAAAACACACAACACGGTCAAAACCATCTCTAATTATGTCACCCGGAGGAAAATATTGGTAACATGTTTGCACATGTTCTAGAACTTTTGGTGTTTCTCACACATGTGCACATGTTAGAGGAGGCCACCACACACTTATGAAATAAGGCCATGCTGCATAAAACCACTTGTCTCTTTGGCTAATACAGTCATGTTTTCTGTATTACTGAGTACTCTTGAACCAATAATTGCCAGTGGTTATACAAGTTCCATTGCAACAGTGGGAGATAGCTCGCCCCCTCTGTGGCTGTTTTGGGGGTACTGAGCAGGCCTCCCACACAGGAAGAGACTATCGTTCGGAACATTGTAGTAGCTGGATTTCCTACCAGATCCCGTGACTTCTGTAGGATTACCTTCCAGGCTGGGTCATCCCTAAGGATTGATCCGTATTGCCAAATTTATTCCCCCCCTCCGGCCAACCCCTGCCACGCCCAAGCAGAGAAGACAGGCGGCATGGTTAACGGAATTCATTTTTAAACCTTGGCACGGCTGACATCCAAAACAGGCTCTTCTACCACTCCACTGCTCTCTGAAGAGCTGGGTTGGCCTGCCAGCTCCGTGACCACCAACTGCCCGCCTCTGGCACTGGCTGGTGGTCACCCCGGGCTGGATGTCCCCGCCCCCCCCCCAGCCTGGTCCCACAGACACCTGCTTCCCCTGGGGACAGGCCAGAGCCTCTGACTAAGCCCTTTTGCATCCCGGAATCCTCCTGCTGCGTGTGCTGGTTGCCCTGGAGGTGAGGAGGGTGATGCGAATGATCTTAGGGAAGTTGCACTAACAGTACCCGGCTGGATTTTTTTTTTCAACCTGATGACGATGTCGTGTTTCAGGGCAGCATTTGCTATGTACCACAGGAGAGAGCCAACCCTGTGTCCGGTGTGGACTCTGAGCATGATGCTTTTGTTCAGCTACACGGTTCTGCAACTTTCTTAGCCTGTGCAAGGCAGGGCAACTGAGAAGCAATGTGTGGCAGCTGAGGCACATTGCCTTATGGCGTGCACTCGGACTGAATGGTGTTCTCATCACGGACCCTGCATGTAGGCTGTTGCCCTGCCAGTCACCCCTCCCGAGCACTGTGCTGGTGTTGGCTCCGTGAACTGTCACAGTGGCCACAGGAAACTGTTGTTTTTGCTTGTCTCCGTGGTGTGGATGGGGAAACACCAAGGCAAGAAGCTTAGGGACCTGGCTCAGGTCATGCAGCTTGCACCCAAGATTCGGAGCAAGGGCTGGGGTCTGCGCTCTGGCCTTACCTCGCACATCCCTGCCCTTCTCTGGGCCTTGGGTCTTTCTGTGCTAAGAAGGATTCTTAGAGTCCACCAGGATGGGGAGTCACAGAATCATACTGTACCTCTGTAGGAACGCCATGAGGGAGCAGAGGCTTGTGGTTTATTTTGATGGGGGGAAAGGATGGCTTGTTCCCTGTCCACACTCCAGATGGGGGTCTGAGCATCAGGGAGGGGAGGGTCTCTGGGCTGCTGGGGGTCTTATCTGCTTCTCTTGGGGGGGAGGTATCATTCCTGATACTTCATTTACATATCATTTACATGCTAGGCAGTTGAAGGATTATGGGTAATTTTTAATTTCTTATTTTGTTTCCCAGTATAGATTTTTCTGCCATGAAAACATTTTGCTTTTGCAAAGAGCAAAGGTCCATTACTCAGATTTTTAGAAGAAAGGATTTGGCACCCTGTGCCTCAGGGCGTTACCAGGAGCAGGCATTCACTCTCCAGGGAGTGTGATTGGCCCAGCTAAAGAAGGAAGTTGTTTCCAGGGAACACTGGGACACTGGGATTATGGAGAAGAGGCGAATATCAGGCCCTTGAGGCATTCTAGATCCTTTGTCAGCCAGACTCTGGTCCAGTGGCCCAGGAAGAGACGGTTCCTTGGCTGGTAGCTCTGGCTGGGTGGAGGGGGTGGGGCAGGATGGAAATGATCTTATTCCAGCGTTTTCCAATAGCTTTGTTGGAAGGAGTGGCCAGGTAAGATAGGGCTGGCTGTTAGAGACTCACAAGCAGCTGTAACAAGGCTCAGATAAGGCAGAGTTCAGAGAGATCTGTTTCTAATTAAGCTTCATCTTGTGCCTTCTCAAATTTGGACCTTCGTAGTTAACCAATTCAGTCCAACTCCGTCTCAGAGAAACAAGCAAAGCTGAGACTTGAGAACAGCGGGAACTGAGCACCAGGGCCCCACGGTCAGAGGCAAGCCCAGCCGTCTCAACACAGTCTTCCAGTCTTCATCTCAAACACTATCCCAGGAAAGTAGTTTTCGGGCCTCTGTTTCCTCACTGGAAAGTGGGGCAAGTGATAAATTCATGCCCCACTTCTCAGGAGGTCCCCAGGGGGAGTCAGCTGACCCAGGCAGGTGTCCAGCACCGGGGCCTGTGCAGTGTGCAGGTGGGTTGTCATCACTCAGTGTGAGATGGGAGATGGGATCTGACCCCCCCCCACACCACCACTTCCCTTTAGAGCTGTACTTGATGAAGCCCCAGGCGTCAGTCTGATGTCCCAAGTCTCCTGAATGAGACCAAGCCCTTGCAGGTCCTCAGGGAACCTTACTCCCAGCATGTTCACATGGCTTGGTCTTTGTCTCAGTGACCCCATTTTACAGATGTGGAAGGTAAGGCTCCTTGGCACAGCTAAATCTTGGGATCCAGAAGAGATATAGTAGGGATTCCAGCCTGGGGATGCTAAGAAGCACTTTCAAAGGTAGAGGGAGAAAAAGACCCCCTGGCTGGGGCTCCTGGAGGGACCTCAGGGCTGGGAGAGACCCCTACACCCTGAAAGCTTCGGGACCCCAGTTCAGGCAGGGGCATCTTCCACCTGCTTCCGAGCTCCAGCAGATGGCTATGGCCATCCTCACGGGACGGACACTCTATGTCACCCAGGCCAGGACAAGCCCTTCTTGTCCTTTCCCATCTAGCTTGATGGCATGGTCCCAGCCAGCATTCATTGTATATCACACACACTATGAGCCCATCCTAGCAGCCACCCCTGGCATGCCAACCCCATCCTAAGACTTCACCCCAGGAGACACAGCTACCCTGAGTGGAGCCTTTCCCAACCCCCACACTCAGTTCAGGATGACAAAAGCATCCTGCGGCCTTGTTGCAAGCCAGCACCTGACTGCCCAGACAGCTCAGCAGCCTGGACCCCTGGCCCCAGCGTGTGGCCCTGGCCCAGACATGCCTGCCCGCCTGAAACCTCTGATGTTTACAACCCTGCCACCACTGCCGCCACTGGCAGCTTTGAAACGGCCCCTAAGTGCTGGGACGTGTCCTTGCCCAGCCTGTGTTTGCAAAGGCTCTGACTGATTTCCTGGCTCTCCAGGCTGCCGCTGCCGGGAACACACACTCTAATGGAACGTTAATTGGAGAGAGAAGCAAAATGAAGAAAAGCTTCGCTCTGCTGTGCTCAGGGTAGTAGCGTATGAATCTCTTGCCTTCTCTTTCTTCTCCCAGGGGGTCCCCTGACCCCCACCTTCCCGGTAAGCAGAAGGTGTGAGGGCCCCGGGCTGGGCCAGGAGTTCTGGACACAGCTTAGGCCACACTCGGGCCCTGTTGCTGACTCACGGCCTGACCTTGGGGCAGCTGCAGAGTGGGATGAGGCCCCGGGCTTGTCAGGGCCGAAGGGAGGAGGGGAACGGGGCATTAGAGCTCAAGCTTTGGCCCAGGAAAGCAACTGTCTTCCAACCCTCCTTCCCAATCCCAGACAGCCAGGGGGCTGAGCCCTCAGTAAGTAACCTTGAGTCAGTTATGCGAACCTCCTCGTGCCTCAGTTTCTCTGCCTGGTAAGGAAACCGACAGGACTGGGCTCCTGGTGGCTGGGGCACCAAAGCACTAAGCATGATGCCTGTAATGAAGTGAACTCTCTACCAAGGTGACCCATGTATGTCCTTAAAATGACGACGGTGCCTCGGTTTCCTCATCTGTGATTCAGAGAGTCTACACTGCTTATCCATCTAAGGGGGCTTCAAACACCTTGTCTGTTTGCCCAGCCTGTTTTCCCCCCACTCAGTCAACTTGGTCAAAATACCCACACTGGGTCCCTGTGTGCCTGCCTGGGCTCCCAGTGATGCAACTCAGAGTGGCTCAGGAAGCTGCAGGCAGATAGAGATTTCCCTATGCGAAGCCAGCTTGAAGGGCTGCACTCCAAAGTCCTGAGATTGCCCATGACCAGCTTGGCCTCTAAGGGGTCCCCCTGCCACCCTGTCGCCCAACTCACCGGACACCTCCACGTAGCCATCCTTGGTCTTCACCATCAGCTCCTCGGGCTTGAAGCTGTGCACATTGACGCACACTTTCCAGGGCTCCCCAGGGAAGGGTGGGGGGCTCCTGCCCTCAGCAGGTACCCCGAACCTGGCCGTGGCAGTGGGCCCCCGGGGCACCATGCCTGACCTCAGGGTCCCAGACCATGGCGAGGAGAGCCGGGGCAGAGCCCAGTCCGGCCACGAGGCGGTCAAGTCATCAGCAAAGGGGTCCATGCCAAAGCCATCATCCAGGAGGCGGGAGGAGAGGGACGAGTCCCGGAAGGGGTCCCGGCGCAGGCGGCTGGGGTAGTGGCAAGAGAATGGCATCTGCCCGTCGGCCATGGTGGCTGTTGAGCTCAGAGGAGGGAGATGGAAGCTCAGAGAGAAGGGGCCACCTGCCCAAGGTCACACAGCAAGGTGATAGGGCCAAGCCGGGCGTCCAGAAAACCCCCGATCTTCAGTCAGGGAGGAGCAGAACCATCCACGGCCCTGGTGGGGAGGGGGCCCAGTGTGCAGCAGGTGGCGGCGGGGGAGGGGCGGGGAGTGTCCCAGCCCCCAGAAGGGAACCCAGCAGAAGCTCACAAGGACTCTCTCAGCGCCTTCTCACCGGAGATCAGTGAACCACCGTCCTTGCAGGCTACCCAGGCACACAGCCAGAGCCAGCGAGCTCCAGAGCAGAGCCAGGAGCTTTTATAAACTCCGGAGATGCCAGCCTAGAAACTTCTCCTGGCTTCTGGGCTGGGAGCCGGCTATTTATTCGTCGCTGCTGGGGGCTGGGGGCGGAGCTGCAGTGACAGTGCAGTGCCTCCTGTGACAGGAGTATTGGGAGGTGATGAACCAGCTCTGGAGAATCCCGCCCAGGGACAGCTGGGCCCCGGGACTGGATCGGTGCGGGGAGGCGTGCAAGTTCAGCCAGCCCCTCGGCAAGCTCTCTCCTCCCCTAGCCTCCGGGCTCAGCTCCGCCCACCGGGGAGCAGGGCTTGGCCGCCTAGTTATTAATAACCCTGTGCCTGGCTGAGGGCTCAGGTCACCCTCTGCAAATACCTTCCTCAGGGGCGTGTTGCTGCCTGCCTCTCCCCCCCCGGGGGGGGGGCTGGCAAGGAGACTTGCAGAAGGGAAAAGGGGTGAGAGAGCCTAGTGGGGTTTGGAGATAGGTGAGTCTGAGTTGTAATCCCGGCTCCAGGCTCTCCCAAGCCTCAGTGTCTTTATAGAACAGCGAAGAGAACCAAACAAGGAAAAAAAAAAGTCCATGTAACTTTTCTGAACATAGACTTTCCTAGTGCTTGCTGGAGGAAAGTACACGGGATTTAATCGGTAGAGGGGGAGACACAGTGGCAGTAGAAACAGGGACCACGTGTTTTTGCATTTTGCAACAGAGGGGAAAGATCAGCCTCAACTCCCTCCACGGCACTGAAAGCTTGGGATTCCTAAGGAAGGAGCCTGGGGAGAGCTCAGGGCATGGAACATTGCTAAGAGGGATTCTGGTTGAACCACCCGGGCAGGATTCTTGCTGGAGTCAGGCAAGGATAGGGTCAGGCACCTCCTGGAGGTGGGATGGGTGTGGGGTGAGCTACTGGCTGAGGAACTGATGAGATGTGGAGAGGACGCGGTTTGATGCTCAACCAACTCAGTGGCTTCTCGCCTAAAACCCAGCTTCTGTAAGAAAATGCGCAGCTGGGCCTAAAGAGCCTGGCTACAGTTGGGCCATGCAGGGAACCTACACAGTCAAGTGTGAATCCGTCTCGTGTTTCCCCAGGCATTTTCCAGCTGTCTGCTTTCCCACCTGTGACGTGGGCGCGACGTGGCGCTTAGCAGCCTGAGCGGAGGCTCTCGTTCCTTCCACACTTGTTGCATGCTGGGCCTAGTTCCAGGGACTTTACCAGATTAGCTCATTGAATTGGATCCTCCTTCCTCCCCAAACTTTGTCAGATATGGACACCAGCGGTGTCCCATTTCGCAGCTGAGCAAACTGTGGCATGGCGTGTTCGTGCGTGTGACCGAATGTGGGGGATTGTGCCCAGGGCCAACACTTGGAGCCCAGGAAAAGGGCTTGTACTTTGCTTCTCTGCTTGTCCAGTACAGCTGGAAGAAGGTATTTACAAATCCCCTCGGGCCTTTAAAACAAACAAAATCTTGGACCTGGGTTCCGGTCTTTGATCTGTGCCCCCTGGGGGCGTTGGCTCCGCCTTCTTTGTGGGGTGGGGGTGTTTCGGCCTTCAGTGAGTCAGAGGTTGGGAAGTGGCTAGAAAATCTAAGCAGTGCCTGCTGTGAGGCAGTTTGCTAAAAATAACAAAGCATAGAACTGTCACCCACCGGCTGCCTGGGCCTGCCTCAGCAGGCAGTGTGGCATGGGCGCCCAGGGCCAAGCCCTCACCACCTTACTGCTCTTGTCCCGTGCCCCTGGTGCTTGCCTGCGGGGAGGGCCTGGATGGGAACTCTGAATCCTAGCTGCTCCGTGGCTGAGCTGACCAATCCGGTGGCATCCCCCTCTTCCTCCCCAGCCAGGAATGGGAGGTGAGCTGCCCTGCCCCCAACCCATTTTCCAGCAGGCGTGACACACAGGGAGTCACTGGCCCACTCGATCCAGGCTGAGCTCATCAGCCTAGAAGCTTCAGGCTGACGTCAGAAGCCTCGGCCCTCTCTGCAATTACAGCCGGGCAGGGCCATCCTGGCTTTGAAGCCTAGGTGTGGGGAGGATGGCCGTGTGACTGTGTGACACACCGGGAGGCAGTATGCTGGTGGGGATCTGATGTGTCTGGGTGGGTGGGAGAGGCTTGGGCTGGAGTGAAGCTGTAGGTGGATTTGTGGGGCAGCAGTGTGTGTGCACACTGCCAGGACTGTGCTCATTGAAGGGTGGCCTTTATATCAGAGGGAACACGTGACATTAACCAATTCCAAAAGTTTTTTTTTATTTAAAATTTTTATTTATTTATTTGAAAGTTTCAGAGAGAGGGAGGTAACACACACAACACACACACACACACGTATGTGGATATGGATTGGTCAATTTGTTATGTCTATCTTCCAGCTACTGGTTCACTCCCCACTTTCAGCAATAGCCAGCATTGGGTCAGGTCGAATCCAAGAGCTTCTGGGTCTCCCATGTGGCTGTAGGGGCCCAAGGACTTGGGCCATCTTCCCCTGCTTTCCCAGGCCATATGCAGGAAGCTGGTCAGGAAGTAGAATAGCCAGGACTTGAACCTGCTCTGCAGGCAGTGAACTTACATGCTGCCCCACAGCACCGGCCCCAGAGCCTGTGTTCTTAACTACGCTGCACATGTGGGAACAGCAGCAGCAACCCAACAGCAGAAATCGCTGCCATTACTGGGAAACCTTTCTGGGCCAAGCTCTGTTAAATGCCCCATAAACCAGATCTCTTTTAATCCCTGTAACAGCCCTTTGAGGCAGTCGTTCCCTTGTTAACTACATTTTAGAGCAGAAAGATCTAAGGCCCAAAGAAGGAACTGTGCCAACTGGCTCCCACGCCTCCCATGGAGCTGTCCCAGGGTGGCTGTGCTAGTGGCCCACACTGTACGTCCAGCCAGGCCTGGGTCCAGCCAGTGGACCACATCTGTGAGTGCCCAGTGGTCAACCCATGTCTCTCTTTATTAACTGAACTCCCTTCTCTGGAACCTTTCAGCAGTGGTGTTGCGTCTCAGTGGGACAGGGGCTGCCAGGAGAAGCATTGCCATGGGAGCAAGGCTGCCTGGGAGACATCCGTGTCAGCTCATGTCTTTGTCACTGGGCCAGAGCCAGGATGGGGGAGTGGGCTGGCCATGTGGACGTCCCTCTCTACTGTGGGTGTCCCCAGGGGGAAGAGAGCCAGGGGCAGGTCGGGGACAGTAAGGGCCCCACCTCTCTCTGTGCCTTCTAAGTGCTAGAACCCACCTGCCAGGGGTTCTTGGGGGGCTCTGCCCGACCTCTGAGATCTCCTTGCTTGCTCCCGATGGCGAATCTGCTTCCAGCAAACCAGAGAGCTCAACCCCCCAGGAGGTGACAGTGCTGCCCTGTGGTGGCCGCCTAAGAGGAAAACAGGGACACATCTGGAGTTGAGGGTCACTAGTTCTGAGGGCCACAGCACCTGTGAGCCCATATCCCACCATCTGTCCAAGTCCCCGTCTCCTAGGACAGCTGCTGTCCTGCAGAGTGAGGAAGAACAGCCTGGGAGGGCCCCAGGAAGGAGTGAGACCATGCCCCAAGCCCACTGACAGACCATTCAGCACTCTGCTAGGAGGAGGAGAGGGTCCGGAGAGCTCCGTGGAGACCAGGATGGAGCCTGGTGTAGCTGCTGTGGTTTGCACAGGATGTCATGTGTCCACTAAGGGCCCACGTGTTAAAGTACTGGCCCCTAAGAACCTTACGTGCATGGCACCAAGAGGCTGGTGTTGGCAGTCATGGGTGCCTTTGGGAGGTGATGGGGTTAGGTCATTAGGGGGGAATCCAGATGGCTTTCTCTGAGTCCCCCAAGGACATGGACAGGATGCTGCCAGCAGGAGCAGCTTTTCCAGCGGCCGACCCACTACCCATCTGCCTCCCAGGCCCAGCCCAGTCTCAGACTGTGAGTCTCCCATCCTGTGAGCTGAAAACCCCCATCCCTGTCCTTTACCAGTGACTGGCCCTGGTACTTTGCTGTACCCTGGAGGGAGGACAAACACAATTGTCATATGGGCAACACCGTGAACTGGGCTCTGATATGGTCACCCAGTATTAAAGCAGCAGAGGCCCTGGGCCTGGCCACAGCATTGGAGGGAATGGGTGAGTTGTGTCGAGTGTACTGCTGGCTCTGTGAAGCTGGGAAGCCCCAGTCCCCAGCCCTGCCATTCAGGTGCAGGGGCGGGAGTCTCGCTTGCTCACTTGTTCTGTATTCTTTAAGTTCTGTGTGTGGAGAACCAACCCCGGGGCTGGAGGTGAAACAGTGAGCGAGGCCAGTGTTCCCGCTTTCCTGTACGCACGTCAGCCCACCCACAGCAGGGACAATGCAGAATTCTAGGGAGAAGGGCAAGGCTCCCTGCTGGGGCTGCCTCTCTCACTCTGGTCCCCATGGACCTCTGTGTCCCTCAAACAGGACGGTCAAGTGTGTTCTCATCTGAGGGAGGGCTCCCCTCCTGCCGCTTCTCTACCCATACGGCTTGTCCCTTAGTTGGTCTGAGTCACTGCTTCCCTTTCGCCTCCTCAAGGAAGCCTCGGGGGCCTTGAGTGTTCTAAAGACACAGGCGCTCCTATCAGCTAGCAGATTCTGTTTTTAGAGCCCTCGTCACTAGCCAGGAGGTACACGTTGGTTGGCTGCTGTGTGATCTGGACAGTGGCTGTGTCACTGACACCCGGCATGGCCCCTGACCCACGGTCACTGATCAGCACAGTTTGTGATGTACAGTGATATTCATGTTGTTTACCCAACATTTCTGGTCTCTCCTCCCCGCTCTCCCTCTTTCCCGAGCGCAGGGATCGGGAGAATAGTGCACCTGTGGACACCCCCAGCTGGGAGGAGCCCTGAACCCTGGCTGTGGTCGATGAGCTGTGTTTATTCATTGCAGCATAACTCAGCCCTTTCTCACCAGTGGCCTCTCGAGTTGCTTCTGTGCGAGTGTTGAAAGTGCTGGGAAAAGGCGTTCTTCGTGTCCCATTCTGCTTTACCCAGAGTGCCTCCGTGAGCCCCTTCTACTCAGAGCAGCTTGGAGGAGGTTGGGAGAGAGCGTGCCGGAAGGTCTT